GGTAGGAACAGGCTGAAGTGGGAAGAGATAGAAGAACAGCTAAGGGAAGAGAGGCCGATGGTATACGGTTTTGTAGAAACACATCTCAGGGACATGGAACAACCTCCGAACAATGCGGACTACGCGTGGGAATATTGTAATAGAACAGAAGGCAGCAGAAAGGGGGGTGGTATTGGGGCATTCATTCATATAAGTACAGACTGGCAAAGGGTGAAGCAGGAGTGCAAGGAACATTTATGGCTAAAAGGGAAAGTGGCAGGTCAAATGACACTCCTTGGTTTCGTGTACTTGTGGACGGGAGCAAAGGCCAGAGAGGAAAACCAGGCAATGGTAGAGTGTATATCAAAGGACATTCAGGAGTTAGGAAGAGAGTGCGAGATAATTATACTAGGAGACATGAATGCGCACATAGAAGATATAGATGGGTATACCGACCCGACAGGCAAAATGATCATGGATATGTGTGAAAGGCTTGATTTGGTCATTTGCAACAGTACCGAGAAGTGTGAAGGGCAAATAACATGGGAGGTAGGAAGGCTTCAGTCGACGATAGATTATGCACTGATGTCACATAGGATGTATGATAAGCTGAGGGAAATGCACATAGATGAAGGTGGCTCCAGAAGTCTGGGTAGCGATCACAAACGTATCAAGCTAAGTTTTGGAAGAGCAGTGAAAGTGGGAAGGAGACAAGATGAGCAACTACAGGAAAATTTTTATCCAGAAAGGCAAATTGAAATAGCCACTAAACAAATTGAGAAAGTAATCACGAAGGATAATAAGACAGTATGGACATACACGAATCTAATCAGACTCTTTGAGCTAGAGCTTGCTAAGACGCGTGACAAATCACCCCGGAAAAGAAGACACAAACCCAAAGGTTGGTGGGATGAGGAAGTTGAGAGAGCCATAGCAAAACGTCAGGAAGCCTCTAGGGAACACAGACATGCTAAGCAGCGGGGTGAACCGACAGATGATGTGGAAAGAAAATGGGCAACCTTTCTAAGCTGTAGAAGGGATGCATCCCTTCTGATCAATGAAAAGATTAGAAGGAAGGGAGCTCAGTGGCTGGCAGAAGTACATAAAAAAGATAGAAAGGCAGCTGCGAAATTTTGGAACCGTCTAAACTCCCTAAGAAATGAGACGAGTCTAGAGCAGAGCTTTATAACTACAGCCCAAGGTGCTAGGCTAGAAGGGGACGAAGCTATTGAATATACAAGAACAAGGGTGACAGAAAAATTTCAACAAAGAAGTACTTTATTCACCACAATAGACAAGGACGAATCAAGTAATGCAATGGCTCCATTTTCACAACAAGAGTGGGAAAGGGCTGAGAAAAGGGTTCCTAGTAGTACAACAACAGGCCCAGATGGCATTCCAATTAGGCTGATAAAGGCATTAGGTCCGAAGTCTAAGCAGGCTTTGAGAGAGGCAGTAAGTACAATAATAATCGATGGTGAAGTTCCCGATGGATGGAAGCTTAGCAGGATGAGCATGATCTATAAAGAAAAGGGGGACAAAGCTGACATAAACAACTACCGTCCTATAACAGTGACATCAGTGGTCTACAGGCTGGCGATGCAGATTATAAAGGAAAGACTGCAGGCGTGGATAGAGGATGAGGGGGTGCTGGGGGAACTGCAGAATGGGTTTCGGAAACACAGGAGGTTGGAAGACAATCTGTTCTCACTGACGCAGTGCATCGAAATAGCAGAAAAAGAACACAGGCCCCTGTGGCTAGCATTTTTGGATATCAAGGGAGCGTACGATAGTGTGGTTCAAGAGGAAGTGTGGGGAATACTGGACACACTAGGCGTGGAACATGTAGTCACTAATCTTTTAAAGGGTGTCTATAAAGGTAACAAGGTAGTTATAAAGTGGGAAAAACAGGTATCCAAGCCTGCAGAGGTAAAACGGGGTATTAGGCAGGGGTGCCCCCTGTCACCCTTATTATTCATGATGTACCTACAAGGATTAGAGGCAAAATTGGAGGGAAGTGGACTGGGCTTCAACCTCTCTTTAGTCAAACAAGGAAAACTTAGTGATCAGGCACTACCAGCATTAATGTACGCAATGATATAGTGTTAATGGGCAACAACAAGGAAGATTTGCAGAGATTGATGGACATCTGCGGTAATGAGGGAGATGGGTTAGATTTTAGATTCAGTAGGGAAAAATCAGCAGTCATGACTTTCAATGACAACGAAGGTAGTGAGCTTAGAATACTTCAGCAGGTCACGCTAGAGATAACATATAAATACAAATATCTGGGCGTATGGATAAGCAATGGGACCGAGTATCTGAGGGAACATGAAATATACGTGACGACTAAAGGTAACAGGAATGCAGCAGTCATGAAAAATAGGGCACTGTGGAATTACAATAGGTATGATGTTGTGAGAGGAATATGGAAAGGGGTCATGGTTCCTGGGCTGACGTTCGTCAATGCGGTCTTGTGCATGAGATCAGAAGTTCAAGCAAGATTAGAAATTAAGCAACGTGGAATAGGTAGGCTTGCTTTAGGAGCTCACGGGAAGACACCAAATCAGGGAGTACAAGGTGATATGGGATGGACATCATTTGAGGGCAGGGAAGCTAGCAGCAAGATAAAATTTGAGAAGCGATTGAGAGAAATGGGGGAAGAGCGTTGGGCTAGGAAGGTTTTCAGCTACTTGTACATGAAAAATGTCGATACAAAATGGAGGAAGCGAACCAGGAAGTTGACTGGTAAATACTTAGAAAACAGCAGGTGGCCAAACCAAAAAGAACTATCGGTTAAGAAGAAAGTGAAAGAAATGGAGACTGACATGTGGAGAATGGGAATGATTAAGAAGTCCGCACTAGAGATCTATCGAATTTTTAAGCAGGAAATTGCCAAGGAAAGGATCTATGATAATACTCGGGGTAGTTCTCTACTGTTTGAGGCCAGGACGGGAGTACTACGAACCAAGACGTATCAGGCCAAATACGAAGGGGTAGACACAGTATGCAGTGCGTGTGGAGAGGAAGAAGAAACTGCCGAACACTTGATAATGTTCTGTAAAAGGCTTCACCCTATAGTTCAGGATGATGGCGCAGAGTTTTTCAAAGCACTGGGGTTTAGGAACCGGGAGGGCAAAATAAACTTTAAGCGGGTAGACTTAACTAGAAGGAGGTTATCTGATTGGTGGCTAAAGTCAAGGCACGAGTGAAAATTAAACTCTTCGCTACTGCATAGTACGAATCCTCAAACTCACTTTTTAAGGAAAAAAAATATATAGTTTTTGGTTCATTAGGTATTACGGCTTGGTGGCGCTAGCCACCGCCCGATCTAAAGGGCTACAGCAATATCCATCCATCCATCCATCCTACGTGACTTAATGTACTCTTTCGCCTCTGCTGCACGCTGGAGCACTCTAACGCAGCGTTTCCAGAATACTATTCACCTACTTTCTTGCGCAGAACATGAAATCGCTCTCTTCACACGCAATACTATCATGTTTCGATGATATTTGCAGATTACATGCAGATACGGGGCGAATTTTTGTTTAAACTGCTGTGCGTTTCGTCTCATGCGAGGTAAAGAGCGAGATGCAGTAATAATGAAAGTTTCTTGTGACGGGAGTCCTCAATGGCGTAAGTGCTAGTGCAAACACGGCCTAAAATTGATCACTCTTATGACCGAATATATTGCACCACGACATCGACACAGAAGGCACATACATCGCGCCAAATTATTTTTTTTATTCGCGATCACACTTTTTACTTGTACAACAGCAGTAGAATAATAAATCCTAGAAAACAACTTCTAAAGGTACTGCAGAGCTCATGCACGCATCATCACCTATTATCACAATTTGCACCTGCCCACGTTGCAAGCAATGTGCAAAATGTTAATACAGAGAATAACAAACAATTGGACCGTATGATCAAGCACCGGGGAAAAATTGTGAACTGCAGTCGAACTGTTTTGTCTATTGTATTTCATTGACTTGTGCGCGCATACACATAGGTCAAACTAAACGTGTGTGAACTAAAGGCTGAGCGAACGCCAGTACTACGTAAAAAATAGCTGTATACGGTCATTTCGGAATTCACTGCCAGAGGTGTGGTTGCACCTGCGCACAATAGAGTTCGTGACAGAACTATGCGTGAAGTCACTTAATGCTATCAAATTGTAAAAACGAAAGAACAGTGTGCATGGCTTCCTCAGCCTCGTCAGCTAAAGAAAATAAAGAAAATAGGTATCTCGAACCATCGCTTTGACGTTGGCAAGTGCAGAGTGTCGTAATCGGTGATGACACGTGAATGAACTGTGCGGCATCTTTTTATGTTGTTTTACCTATCTATTGTCATTTAACAGCAGCATGTGTGCGTGTGAGAGAGCCTGTGTCCTTATCGTGATCTGCTACAGCCATACGAATGATGAAATCTGACCACCTAGCTCGGCAACGTGCCTTAGAACTCTATAAGGCCTAGGGCTACTGACCATTGTTCTTGTGCTGCTATAGCAGGCTGACTTGGCAAAGGTCCGGTGTTTACTGCGCCAAATGCGAGGCTTGTGCTGGTCCCAGGAAAACACTCAGTTCCGTAAACAAACAATTTAATAATAATTACGGCCACGCAACATCCTAAAGGCGTCAGCGTCTAAGGCTTGTCTGTTCACTTCATTATCATAGACTCAAGGCGATGCCCGCATCAATCCTGGAAATGGGAGCACATGTTGGCGACTGGTTATTGCACCAGACATTTCGCAGGACGCTGAGCCTTCCGAGGGCGTTGTGACGAACCGTCCCTCACAGCAATTCTTTTTTAAGGCAAGATCTCTTTTCTCACCTACCATTTTATGTACAAGCCAATATGTAACTTTTTATGCGTTACTTTCTGGCCGGGGGACGATATGATGCTGGTGAGTAGAGTGGGCTTCATTCTAAACTTTTCCTAATATTGTGCTTCATTGACAACACATGTGACCGGTCCTGTACCTACTGTGGGTTCAAGGAGCTGAATGCGATATGCAGGACGTCTCTGGCACTGTGGCTGCTCATGAACGTGCTGCTCTGCGCCATTCCCAGGTATGGCGCCTATGCCATGCAGCTGACGGGTCTAACAATGTTGTTCAGTGGCGGCCTCTACTCTTCGCTACTGCCAGCCAGGCCACTCATCATACCTTTTGAAGGAGGCCTACTACACTTCAGCTTTGGCTGGTGCTATTGGGCGGTACTTGGAGCAGGCGAGTTGCTTCTCATTCAGTACTTGTTCTGGCTTTTAAGCTCAATTAAACGTTTTTCCACTGAACATTTTACTTGTGGGCTCTTCCTGTGGTCGCCGTTGTCGCGTGACTCGGGCCACGGTATGTTCTTTTGCGGAGACTGGCTGGATTACTATGAATAGTTTCTCACCGAAACGGCGAAAGCAAAGGAATAATAAACGGTAATAAAAAAATCCCAGGCCTGCCCTTATAAAAATGAATTTTCAGGGTCTAATGTGCAGCTAATGCACACCTAATGAGTCACTAGATTGACATTAGACCTGCAAAGCCTAATGTTTCTTAGCATCAGGTGTGCAATTGAGACTCAGATGACAACATGCACCAGGATTTCTGATGATCAAGGTACGCGACTTTCCAGTGCGTGTGCTAATGTCAAAGCACATCACAATGAAAAAAATTTTCGTTAATCTTTTAGAGCCAACAAAAACTCGATTTCTTACTACTAAATGTAATAATCGCGGGAATCCTTGATCCCAAAACCACTATATGAAAATGAAGAACGCCGTAGCGGAGTGCTTCAGAAATTTCGACGATCTGTGATTCCTTAACGTGCACATAAGTCTAATTCAATTACTTGCTGATCTCGACATTCACGTACATGTTGTCTTTCGAAAATCTAAAACACTAAACAGTTTGTATTCCCATAGGTTTCTCGACCATGTTTCAGTAAATATAACATCGACATGAAGGGAATGTCTTCGTACACATGCTCATAAGTGTAAATCAGATAGACCATAGGAGCAATAATAATAATAATAATAATTATAATTATAATAATAATAATAATCCAGGGTCTGTTATGCATTATTGCACGTAAGACAACTCAAAGGCGATAGCCATCTCTTTCTTTTTTCCAATCAGTTGATGTGCTCATCCTGCCGCCCTTCGAAAACTTTCTGCAACTAATGTGGTTATGCATTGCCTCCACGGTTAATGACACCGTTTTGCGTAGCCAATCACCCAGCCAGCCTTTGGACAAGCTATGATGGGATTGTGTGCGATGTAATGATTTTATCATGTGGCGCTATAATGACACGTCATCTCGTGGTGATTACTTTTTGCATGCATCTATCGTTCCCTACATTGCAGGCTGCGAGACGCTGCCAACGGTCAAATTTTACTTTTAATGAGGCATCTAAGGCTTGCGATTTCATTAGTAATCAATGATTTTTTATTTACTTTTTCATGTAGCGTGCCCAGAAACAATTATAAGGTTGTACATGTGCATCTAAAAAACAACCATAACGATTATTTGTAACTAGCAAGGACGATGATACAGCATGATGGCCAGAACAAGAAGTGGTATCGGTTTATTCAGTCACTGATTATATAGGCGCACGATAGCGTGCCGTGAGTATCTGCGCATGTCCGATGCGCAGTCGTGATGCAATAGCCTTGCCGGATACATCCTTTCCGTTAACAATGAAATTACATACCCACCGAAACGGTGGTAAGTACATGGCATTTCAAAAAATGATATCATACACTTGGTTAAAGCCCTTGTCATAATGAGGACACTGTGGTGGCTTCACGGTTCGAGTCGACCTTCTTAAAGATGGCGTCGGTGGTGAAGTTGACTGACGCACCACAGGTGGCGAAGGGTAGCCCGACGTCGCGACGTCGGCCATTGGCTGGTGAGGTTGAAGTTGCCACTGTCGGATGGCCACCGACGTTGTTGTCCGCTGAGCTGGCATCAATGTCGTCGTCGCTTTCCTCGATGAACCGTTCGCCAGTTTGAAGTAGGTGACGACGGTTGCGCCTTAACAGCTTCTGGTCCTCCGTTTTGACAAGGTAGGACCTTGGATATGGCGAACCCACAACTTGAGCTTTCCGGGACCATGCAGCGTCTCTGAGCCTCATGACGTCACCCTTCTGCAGAGGAGGCAAAGGTCTTCCCCCTTGGGCCTGGCTGTGCTTTTTGACGTCGGTTGCGGTCACCGTACTGAAGTCCGGGAGGTTGGCGCTAAGGCGCCTTTCTTGCAGTAGTTCACCAGGGGATCGCCATTTCTCCAGTGGGGTAGAGCGGTAGGCCAGCAGGCCCAGCCAGAAGTCGTCGCCCGAATTTGCAGTTTTTTTAAGATGCGCGTCACAACCTGCACACCTTTTCCGCAAGCCCGTTTGACTGCGGATAATGAGGGCATGAAGTGACGTGCGTGAAGTCGTATCTCCTTGAAAACAAAAAAAAATTCATGGCTGGAAAATTGTGGGCCGTTATCAGTGCATACTTCGACGGGCACGCCAAATCTGGCAAAAATAGCGCTCAGTGCTGCAATGGTTCATTGCGCCGACATGTCAGGTAGTTTCTGAACTTCCGGAAAGTTTGATAAGGCGTCAAAGATAACGATGTACGAGTCCCCCGCAAACGAAAAAATATCAGCTCCAACTCTATGCCATGCACAACCTGGCACGGGCCGCAATTGAAGCGGTTCCTTGGGCTGTTTATAAGCATACTTGCGGCATGTAGGACAAAGTTGCACCATGGAAGCAATCTCAGCGTTAAGCCCTGGCCAAAACACGAGGCGTCTGCCCCTTTCTTTGCAGTTTTGCATGCCGAGGTGACCTACATAAATTTTTTCAAGCATAGTTTTCTGCATGCTTTTCGGAATAACAACCTTCGACGCCTTTAAAAGTATTCCGTTGACAAATGAGAGTTCTTGCTTAAAAGGCTTTAGTTCACCTTGTACTGGAAGCCCTGCCGACAAACTTGCAATCACCGACTGTATGTAGCGGTCACGAGCCCTTGCCGCTTGCAGTTCTTTCTGCGTTGCTTCTGTGACACGGTAACCTCGAAGCTGGATTGCGTGAACTTCCACGTCGGTAGTAGCACCAGCGTCGTCTTGGTTGTCAGCAGTTGTCCTGGACAACATGTCAGCAAGAACAAGGTGCTTCCCAGGAATATACTGCAAAACAGAATCATACTTGAACAACCTCAAAAAGAACCGTTGAAGGCGAGGTGGCATGTCACTAATTTCCTTTTGAGCAATTGACAAGAGTGGCTTGTGGTCTGTTTCAATTGTGACTTTCTGGCCGTAGACGAACTGGTGAAAATTTTCGCATCCAAAGCAAATTCCTAGGGCCTCCTTTTCTATCTGTGCGTACAGTTTTTCTGCCTTAGTCAGTACTCGAAATGCGTAAGCTACGGGCCGTCACTCGGTATTGTGACGTTGCAGAAGGGCGGCACCGAACGCCGTCCTTCGATGTATCGCAAGATAACCTTGTTTCCCGTCGTGGGTCAAATATTGCGAGCACGGGAGCGGTGGCCAAATATGCGTGACGCTTTTCCATTCTTTGGCGTGGTCATCTGTCCACTCAAACTCAGAACTGGCCTTGATAAGAGTTCTTAACAGGGCCGTTCTTTCAGATAGCTGCGGCACGAACTTTCCAAAGTAGTTCAACACACCCAGCATACGTGGAACATCGGCCTTGCATGTTGGCACTGGCACTTGAACCAAACTTTTTACGAGCCCTGGATTTGGGGATATGCCATTCGCACTTATAATATCACCCAGAAACCGTAGCTCTTTTACGCCAAACATGCACTTGTGCAGATTAAACGTTAATGCAGCTGTTTCAGCAGTTTTGAGGACTGCAACCAGGCGCTCATCATGCTCTTCCTTCGTTGAGCCCCAGACCAAGATATCATCTATATATATGAGCACGCCTGGCAGACCGTCAAATATCTGACAAAATGCCTGCTGAAACACCTCGGGTGCAGATGAGATGCCAAAGGGTAGCCTTAGAAAACAGTATCTGCCAAAAGGCGACGAGAACGTACAGGTTTTTGATGTTATCTTGTCTAAGGGCACCTGATGAAAGCCGGCATTTGCATCCAAACAGCTAAAATAAGTAGCACCGGTTAGCCGTTGTTACAAAGCAGTAACGAAGTCCTTGGGCCGGATGGCCCCAAGCGTGCCTTTCCGTCATCTCGGACATTCTGTGTGGGGGCGGGTCGTCACCTGCACCGGCTCTGTTTGGCCCCAAGCGTGCCTTCCCGCCATCTCGGACATTCTGTGTGGGGGCGGGTCGTCACCTGCACCGGCTCTGTTTGGCCCTAAGCGTGCCTTCCCGTCATCTCGGACATTCTGTGTGTGGGCGGGTTGTCACCTGCACCGGCTCTGTTTGTCTCGGCTGTGCGCTTTGCCTGCGAGGCAGTGGCTACGGGCGGGCCCCTCTGGAATGTGCGGAAGGCCGGTTGCGTGCTACAGGAGGGACTGCCGTGACTTTTTCCTGCGTGGTCGCTTCCGAGTCCCCGCGCGTGTGCCACGTGCGTCTGCCAGGTGCGTGAAGTGACACTTGTGTTGTGCTCTCCATTAGTAATTGGTTCCCCGAAGAGACATTCCACCTATATATCTACGGAACTGCATGGCGAGAGAGGAGAGCAGCCCGCCAGAAGAAAACAGGAGTGTGTCGCGAGAAGAGTCGTCGTTCGGACGTTACTGTCCAACATGTTGCAAATAAACGTCTTGTTAAGTTTTCCTTGACGCCTGTCCCTCTGCCTCAGCTCTCGAGAGTTCTGAACGTCCACGTGGCCTGCGGAATGACGACCACCACCCAGCTCCATGCTACCTACAGGGTCCACTGCGGCCACCGACGCGGCTCGTAACAACTGGATGGCAGCGACGGGATTCTGCTCTAGAGCTGATAGACGAACATGAAAGGCGTAAAGCTGAAGGGAGAAATGAGAGGCTCATACGCGAAGCAGCAGAAAGGGATCTTGAGATGAAGCGCCTTGAAATCGAGCTGCTCAAGGCTCGAGGTAGTAGTGAAGGTAGCGAAGCGTCTAGCGGAGTAGAACGAAAGTCGTTCAGGATGAAAGCCCTAATGCAACCTTACCGCTCCGGAGAGGACATGGGTCTGTTCTTGGTAAATTTCGAGCGCACATGCGAGAAGGCGCGTGTTACCAAAACAATGTGGCCGCACTGCTTGGTTACCCTACTACCCTGTGAGGCTGCCGAGGTAAT